CCGTTGTTTGAATACATAAAAAAGGACAACATGAAAAAGAATAATCCCACCGAAACTCTGCATCAGTGCTGCTGTGAATTTGGTGCTTTTACCACTGACAATTTGTTCTCTATATCTTTTGATCTGATGGTTCCAAGTGGCTTTTGTGCTGCAGTTTGTTTGTATTGCATGTTATTAACCTATGGGAACTCTGCTGTCAGAACGAAAAAGGAAATAAACTGTTCCAGTTAAAAAAAAAGGATGTAATCTTTGTTTGTAAAAATGAGATGAAAAGGTTCAATAACTTCAGTTGGGAAGTAATAACCACACTGTGTGCAGGGTTCAAATCAAAGCAACATTGTTTCACATAAAAAAGATTCTGGTTTGGCTTCCCTGACACTTACACAGGTTTCTTAATGGGATTGGAACTATATAAGCATGAAGAAAAAGGCATTGGACTCAGTACATTACACTGTGATTCTTAAATCCGTGCACTATAACAATCAACTACAAAGTTACTGGTGTTGCTATGGTGTACAGCCAGAGGAGTGAAGTAGCTTTTCCCACACCTCTGCAGGCACTCAGTGCTCATCATAGGGCTCCATAAATCCAACTGGAGCAAGCAGTTAGGCAGCGGTGAGTAGAGATGCACCTAATTTATGGATCTGAAGCACCGGACGCAGAAGGGGAAGCACAAGTACAATAAAATAAACTGTGACATACAGGCAGAGGTGTATGTTGTGGATATGAAAAATGAGAGGTGACAGGCTATGCGATGGACGAAACATGCCATCCTTTCAGTGCGGTGGAGACACTGAGAGGCAGGTTCTTCGAGATGAGGGGTGCAGTTTCAATCAAACTGTTAATTGGATGGGATTTACAGGAGATCACAGTGATAGACATACTACGAACGAAAGGATTTCAGCACTTGTTAAATTCTGTTAAAGCAAGAGTTCAGATCTTTTGAAGTAGAGGCATGTGGAAAGGTTGTGGAAAATTAATATTGTACCTGTTGTAGTTAGCTATTTGTATGGCCTCCTGTTGTAGATATATCAGCAACAGTCTGTAGGATTGCCCTACAGGCATGGATCAGATGTCAACACTCAATCCACTGATGTAGACAGGGACTGGAACTGACAACTGGCCCATCGCCCTGACAAGGAAAACTTTAAGTAGACTGGTTGGAGTCCTAATTGGGCACAACCTGCTCAACTGTCACAAAATGTTGATGGGACTCCATGACATTGGTCTGTGTGATGCCTGCGACCAGACCTTTTTGCACTACTTATGGTACATTTACACCAAACACGTTTTGAGCATCAGGAGCATCTGGTTTACATGCAAAGTCAATGGTGAATGCACATCTWTAGAAGCCGAGCAGCACATCTGGCGCATTTGGAGCAGCACGGTTTGAAGCAGTGCACACGTCATGAGCRTTTTCCGTGGGTGCGGCACGTCCAAAGCGTCCAACATGTGAGTTGGAAAATCTGAACTTTTGCTGCTCGACGCGTCACATCTGCCAGAGAGACTCTGCTCAGTGACGCACTGGTGACGAGCCGGAAATACCAGAAGCCCGGGAAATCGGATCACACAAACAATGGAGGAAAAACCAATAGTCCGATCATTTATGATCATTCCAGTGTCCATTATCATGATAAAAGTAAAAAGGACTTTACCTGGAGGACGATTAGTGAGGAAGTCGGCATGTTTGGTAAGTTATCGAAACTACGGTTAAGAAGGCTCCTCTCGAGTGCAAGAAGCGCGTCTACATTTACATCAAATGCGTCTGTCCTCACTGGACACCAGCRTCAAGATGTGTGCGTTTTGAGATTTTTGGAGGTTTGGTGTAAACATAGCATTAGACCACTGCCTGGCTGTAGGCAGTCAAAGAGAAAGAATTCTTAGGGATCCCTTTATGGATCCTGAGAATCTCAGAACACTGAATGTTTGTAACCTTGTATCCTTCATCTCAGGGACGCGAAGGTTTGAATAAAGCTCAGTGTCTTTTTGAGGAGAGCGATGGGCCCACTCACCAGGCTCATAAGTTCTTCACACATTCCTACCTACTAGTACCAAAACCAATTTGTCCTTATTCAGAGAGACTAGTTTTTAATTTTTAAATGATTTTAAAATAATTTTTAAACAATTAAAAAAACATTGTTTTGAGTTTCTACTAAGACATAATAGTTATGGGAATATATAGATTAATCTATCAAAGTGCCTCTTAGGCCCCCCGTGGCCCCTCCTTGGTGTCACCCTTGTCAGAACCGCTCTTCAAAAGATCTGAACTTACCCTTTAAGATTTCCTACTACTACAGATTTTTAGCAGCTCACTAAATTCCCAAGATGTTAATTCAGCTATGAGGGAAAAATAAGAGGTAGATTGTTCTGATTTTTTTCAGTCCATTGGATGTTTTTATGTATTTTAAGCCAGCAACCTACACAATGTCACCTGTTAAAGTTTCTCTGTATGGGGTGCACCTAACCATGAAGCCACATACTGAATATTTTTATCCTGGTTAAATAATAAAACTCAAACAAAAACAAAGAGCACTCAGGAAGGTTCTCAGTTTGATGAAACTAAACAGCTGTGAAGGTCACATCTTTCAAAACATGAGAGAAAACGGACAATCTTTCAGGAATTGTATTTATAATGAAATAAAAATGTCAAAGTGAAACATAAAGCATATAAAATATAGAAGGCAAACAGTGCCAGCTGTCTTTATGGGCTTTAGCAGAGGTCGGCCAGTGTCTCAATGGAATTTGTTTTAATTCTTACTCTGCTGCTCTCCACATGCCTGCGAGGTAATTGGCAATCTCTTTCCAACCACGCTTGATTTAGCACTGTTGTAAATGTTTTCAGTGTTTAAGAAGTCCGTATTGAGAGCAGATGAGAGCCTTCAAACTCTCATCAGCTCCTTGGTTACATTCAGCAAATGGATAGAAACTTCATTTACAAAACAGTTATGAAATTTAGGTYTTTTTTTCAATTGCTATTGGTGCAGATATTTAGCAAGTTATAAATGAAAGAAAAAATATAAGTGATTTACTATAAAGTCTATGAAGATTTGGTGATTAAGTCTGAATGCTTTTGTACAAATACTTGATGTTAAATAGTTTTTTTTCCCAGTACTTACAAAACAGCTTAAACTACTTCTGGAAAATCTGTTGAATATACTACTGTATATCTTYTCACCTTTTGTGGGTCAACAATGGTTATTGACATGACTGGGAAACATGGAGACAGATCAGGGAGTGTTTCTAAAAAAGACATACAGTACATAATAAACTGTTACTACCTTAAAACTATATTTATTTGACAATGTGCTTCCCTAAAACTGGATTTAAAACAAATAATTACAACCTGGAGTTAAACAGAGAGAGAAAAGAAAATCAGCTTAGAAAATACAAGCAGTGCTGCAGCTTTAAGAGCCAGCTCTGATTTTTGAATTAGGATTTTGTAGAAATTAAACAATATTTTACCTGTTGTAGATGAYATGTTGACTTAATTCCATTTGACTAAAATGAATTTAATTCTGACTGAAGTTACAAACTGAATTTAGATTGAGGCCAGTACCAGCTGCACCGAAATTGCTGCTGTTTGCACTCACAAATACAGCAACTATAGGATTCTATGTAAATATTGTAATGCAAAATTTAAAAGGGCAAAGTAAAGAAAAAAGCATTCACATGAGCTGCTGTGAAATATTTGAGATTAGAGCTGTTTTAAGGCAAAAGCAATTCACTTTGGTCTTGGCTTCACTTGACTTGCTAGTCTTTGCTATCGGAGTTTAACTATTTCTTCAAACGTAGGCCATTCAAATAGCTACCTATAACAGGTAAGATATTAGGTTTTCATTACCTCAATGCAGAACCTCACCTCAAAGGATCTGAACTTAAAGCTGTATAAAAACCCATTCTGACAGAGTGTAATAAACAGATTAAAGTGATTGATAACTTAGAAAAATAAAACACATGGTGGTACAAACAGGCAAATGACCTCTGATTCAGCCAGGTTATCATAAAGTAACTCGTTCAGCGCAGTCTGAACACAAATAGTGTCACGCCTCTGTAGCGTTAAAGTAAAAGTAGTTTCCTATCATTCAGTTTCTGAAGAAATCAAAAGAACTGCAAATATATCTTCAACAAATACAACTAAAGTGAAAGAATAGTAAGTTTCAAACGGATTGAAAATTTGGCTCGGTGAACATTTATTTTAAAGACCGTGTAAAGTAAAAATAAATGTGTGTTCTGAGGTTGTCACACCACAGAAATAGGTGTTAATAATCACCCAGCCAAGTTTGAACAATTAAAAATACTGCTAACCTTATAAAATTATGTGTTAAAAGTAATGAAAAAATACCAGTTGGCTGTGGTCTGGAATGCTGGGGGCGTGTCCTCTGGAGGAGCTTAAACCACGCCCACGACCCTGAACATTCCTGTAACTGAGGAAACAATGTTTGTTTTCTTTTCCATTGGAGCAACAGGGGGCGAGGTTATACTGAAGGCAGCTGCGTGACATCACGAGGCTGCCCTTTAAGACACGCCCAAAAAATCCTGAAACACAGATACTTTGTTACACAAATTGAATCATATCTCCACTATTCAAAAATCTACAGTTGAGAGATTTTGTACTCATTTACAACAATCCATTCATGACATTTGTAATGTTTGAAAAAGAAAATCTTATATTTTACTTTAAACGGTCTTTAAATTAATTTGACTTTTCTACCTGCAAACACGATTCAGAAAAAAACAGAACGGAGTGAGTCATTGTTTAAATTGAATGAGTCACTGAAATTCACCGCCTTTAAGAATCATTTACTATATTCTACCTTTGGTTTGGGTTGCGGCTAAAAAAAAATAAAAAAATACAGCAAGCAAATAATTTTGAAGTGGATATTCAGTGAAATGTTTGCACAAAAAATGGCACAATCAATAAAAAGCATAACATTTAAAGGAATTTAGGTAAACTGCTGCAATAACCCCCCCCCCCCACCCCCCCTGTTTTGCTGCAGGGACTTATTTATTTTGGTTATTTCTAATATATGCTGGGTTTCAATCACATTAAATCATTCCTGATCATGTGTGCTGCAGAAAATGGTCTCTTACAGTGAATAATGTGCCACAAACAGGTGCGGATATAAATGAGAGATCACAGAGGAGCCTGCTGATAAGATGATGAATAAGTGTGGAATACAAATGGAGAAGAGAGTAATGTCCTGACACTGACGGAAAAAAAACGAGAAAAAACTGGAGGTGTTTTTGGTAGGTGTTTGGGAGCGAAACATATTTTCAGTTATGGTCACCACTTCAAAAATCMCTCGTTTGACCAGCTGCCAACACCTCTCGACATACAGCACTGTCTTTCAGAGATACCAACAGTTAAAATATTTTTTAATAGAATATTGTTACTACAAAAGAAGTCTGTGTGTTTTTCAGAGTTTGTTGTCTTCTCAAGGCTGCGGTGCTTCCTTCAGCCACAACGCTCGTTGTTTTTGGCACTTTAAAAATAAAAGGATTATGAAGAACGACCTTGGATTACTCTGTTCCCCTTTGCAGCTCTTTTAGAGGCAATACAGGTTCAGATAAAAAAAGTTGTTTTTAAAGAACAGATTAACAATATTTAGTAATGATATTCAGAGGACAGAAATAATTTAAACAGGAAAAAAAAGAGAAAAAAAAGAAACAGCACAATGATAAATGACTGAAAATACTGCATAGTACAAATGCCCCATAGCTGCTAATGTCTGTCCTGCTTTGTAGGGTACAAAGGGCCAACAGGGACAGACCACGAGACAGGCTCATCAGTTTCTCCTCTGACCGAGGTATAAATTTACCCAAAGAGGTTCCTGAAACTGACTTCAGGCTGTTGCCTCGAGGACGAAATGAATCGTCCTGCCATTCAAGAACAAGCTCCGAATGGCTGAATAAAAATACCACAAAGTTTTTGATCCCTGGAAAAAAAAAGAGGTGGTTTGCTGGAAAAAGTCAATTGGATTTCCCAAGCGTTATTCAGGTTCACTGCTATTTGTGGTCTTATCCCACTCTATGCTCTCCTCACTGTGCGTGGGAGACGGAAGGGTCCCCGTGGCCCCCGAGGGACGCATCCTCAGTCCCTGGAAGCGTCTGCACTCGGGACAAATCCGAATGTGGCTGCACCCCCTCGCGACCAGGGCAGCCTCCTGTGCGAGTCTGTGGGAGAGGGGCTCGGGCAGACCCGTGCCCCCGCATAGTTTGCCGTTGCTGAGGCTGACGGCGGCGGCCCGCGCTCGACGCTCCTCCAGGGGCAAAGGTCGAGGGCGCAGCATGGACGCCGCMCGCCGACGCCTCACCTGCAGGCTGTCGCGGCACAACACAATCCCGTGGAGCTCCCGCAGCATCTCCTCACACACTGACTGCTGCATGCACACACAGGGAGGAAAGAGAAAATAGGGCAGAGGGGAATAAGAGAGGGAGAGAAATGGGCAGACAACTCACTGACTGACTGACTCGGTCAGGACAGACTGACGGACGTCACAGACACATAACACACAGTACATTTTATGGTTATCTTTATCAGCAGCGAAAAATAAGGAACAGTTAAATAACACATACAGTACATAATGAAAATACCTCAGCACATGCACACGTGAAGCACACACATTTCATCTTCATAAACAGTGATGATGTGCTTGCTGACTTTATACATTATTCACAACCAAATAATTGCAACCACAATTGATAAACTGCTCTTCAAATTTAAAATAAAGTATTATCCTTTAAAATATGTTGCACCAAAGCCTGAAATCAACTAAACAAAGCATGCAAGTTTGCTTTTTTGCATACAAAATGCATACGTTAAATATACAAGTATACAAAGGACAGAAAAATATCTTTTTGACTTCAAACTTGACATTTTTATTGGATTAAAATCAGTGTGAAGGCAAGACAGTTATTAAACATCTGAMAGAACTGTACTTATACACATTATTTTAATTGTCTTCAAATTATATCACTCCAAGCTTAAAACCTTTATGTTCATATCCATATCTTTGATTTATCAATCATTCAGTTTGACTAATTGGATCTGCTTTTATCTTGATACTAAGTACAGTTTGACACAATTATTTCTGCTCCAAATGTCTTTTTTTGCATTCATCTAGCTTGGAAAAACTGTTTTGTCACATTCTATTTTTAAGTATTGTTGCATTAAGTAAAACATGTTTTTAATTAAAAACAGCCTCTGCTTCTCACATCAGTTTTTTATTGCAAACCATTATTAATGCAAAGATCTGATATACAACTCCAACTAAATTATTCACATTTTCCAAGAAGCTTTACTGTTTTTTTAATTATTGTTTTTATTGCAGATGAGATCTACAATTCTAGGTTTCTTTAAAAAAAGATCAAGAATAAGGCCACCAGCATGAGCAAAATGTCATCAGCAGCACCGAGTAAATATGTGTTCACCACTAATTAAAGATAATTACATTCTTTCCTATGTTTTGTCTGCGTTGTGGATGCACATTTGGAATACATTTGCATCTAATCTGAGTGAGGTAAAAAGAAAAAAAGAGGTAAATGGTTAGTTTTGTGCTGGTTATGTGTGTGAATCATGCATCTATCATCAAGAATGTTGGGGAAGAAGGATTGCTCAACTTCCTGTCAGAGACGTGCATTGTGGTAAAACCTCACAGCTTCGCGCAGAGAAGGATGCCACAGAGGGGAGAAGGAAACAAAGCAGATGCAGGTTAAATAGTCCCCTCTCACCTCATTTCCTGGTGCTTGTTTTAGCATCCAAACAAACTCCAGCACAGCCATAAAGATGGCCACCAGCAGGCCACATACAAGCACCACAAAGATGCCACCGATGTTCTCCATACCGAGACCTGGGGAAACAGCGGGACGAGGACGGAGRCGTGAAGAAATAGACAGACAGACGCGTTGATCAAGAACAGCAACACTAAAAATGAAACCTTTAGCACGGTGGTCTTCCTCCTTTGGACACTTGCCACCATCCCACCATTTCCTTTTGAGAATTTCTAAACGATTGTCCTCCTGCAGTTTGAGGATGGCAAGGTCAAACTCATCCCTGTACACTGATCCTGAAAGGAAGAGATAGGCAAAGCTCTCAGCAATGGAAACTTATTAAACAAATTTGCAGTGTTATTTGCAAATCTCTCTTAAAAAAATAGGACAAAAACAACTTTTGTTCAAAGCTTCATCACCTGAAATTCATAATCATCTGTAGTTAAGAAAACATGTGAAGAACGTGTAAAACACAGCAAAGACTGTTTGACAAGCCTGGCTTTGTCAACAAGGTCATTGCTGCATGTGAAAGTCAACATTAAAGGATATGTCAAGGATTTAGCGACATGTTTTATAGGGTTTTTAGCAGTAAAGAAAATAACCAAACTAAATTAGTACAAGTTAAGTCCATTACTGGTTTATAAAGTTATTGCAAATGCATAACTGCTCATCAAAATATTAGTTCCTCTATTAGCAGATGATGAGCATAACTGTGCTCAGCACTGGTACCAACACACAACAACCCTACTGAGAACCTTCTATGTTTTTACACTAAAATAAAAATCCAAAAACAAKGTACGAAACCCAGAGAAACCCAAAGGCAAAACATAAAAACATCATAATAGTCTGTCTTAATTATACCAGAAGATAATTAGAAAATAATATGGAACATCTGTTCATTATCTGACTCATGAAAATGAGTCACATGGCAAAAACAACAAGCGAAAATACAGTTACAATAAAAACGTTAGAAAACTGAAATTTAGTATATTTATAATAGATACAAAAATCTGTAAAAACAAATGATAGTGTACACATTCATAAGGCTTCTTTTCTATATATTGATGCACAAATTAAATGCATATAGCACTAACTGTCCAGTATCCAGTGCAAAACAACATCACAAAAAAATTGGGTTTATATATTTTAGACATCAAAGGAATTCAGATAAATTTAGTTGTTTTCAGCAGTGTTTTTGGTCTTTTATATAGAGTGGAACAGCCTGAGATCAAAGTACAGATAAACTCGATGTTTAAAATGTCAGAGCAGCAAATGACGCCGAGAAACAGTTTAACTTTTAACTGAAACACTATTTCATAAMCTTGTTTTTCTCTCAGCACAASACAGAAAGAGCCACTTTGTTTRAKCCTTGCTGTAAATCTCTTTGGTTTCTCACTTTTTGCATCATTTTCCCCAATAATAGAAGCCAATAGTTTGGCTGTGCTGGGCCTTTACTTTTCAAATTAACCCTCCAAAGTGACATTTATGGTTCATTCTCCAGCTAATGCTCCTGTTCTCCTTCCCCAGCTTCCATGTGAATTATACAGTGCATTTAAGTAAAGCCATCAGCTTTGYCCTCTGTAGCTTTTATTTTACACTGAACCTCTTTTCCTCTTTACTCCACCAACAGTAAATAAAGTTTCCTGTAGGAGCAAYCTTTCTCCCTCTGGTCYCCTGACTGYTGGAGTTTTTCTYGCCTCCCTCCTCTCAGCCTCTGTGCTCTCCACTCACCCAGCGGCATGCCGATGCCGTAGCCCTTGGTGTCCAGCAGGCCTCCGATCTGAGTCAGGTTACAGTTCCTCTGCCGGTAGTACTCGTTCATGGTGCTCTCCARCAAGTAGGCRTAGTTCGAGTTGAGGACACGMGCGATCCCCTCCTCTGTGCTCTTCACGAACACGCTGGGCTGCTTGGAATGCATGAAGTTCCACATCCGCTGGTAGGTCTGGTACCGAGAGTTCTACATGGTGAGAGTTGAGTCACGATCAGGAGGAGCAGTAAGATGTAGAAGTCAGGCAGCAGAAGGTTTACTAGCTGCAGACATAAACTTCCTAHGTCTGCAKRTATGGAAATAAAGTTTTATTTGTTTTGCTTTTTCATTTTCTTCACTGATGGATTTTATTCAAACTGATTTGCTGGAATCAACGTCTCTGCTTTATGTGTATTTTGTTTTTTACAGAGCTGTTCCTGTTTGAGTACATATTTCAAACCATAAAATTCAAATAATACTGCCTCCTGTCTTACATTTTCTCTTAACCACATTTTATTGAGTTATTTTAGGTCCAGTGGATGTAAAAGCATGAAAGAGAACAGAGCTTTTATCTTATTTATCCTCTCAATACAATCCTCTACTTTCCCTTCCTCCAGTAACACTYTCTCTGTTTCTCCTCATCTTTTCTGTCTCTCACAGGTCAAATATTTRGAAGGTGAAAGAAGTTAGAGTGGGACATGGACGATGGACCATCTTCCTGAGGATAAAAACACTAATGGTTGTGAGAACAGTGAGCAGAAAACTAAACAAATAACTCACGACAAAGATCCCATCACTTGTGATCTTCTGAACAGAAGATATGACATGAAGCATGTAAGCTCTCACCATAAAGAAGGTCATTGTGGAGCCTCCGTGCATGGTGCCGTACTCTATCGCCGTCTGATCTGCCAGGTCGTCCACTGACTCAATCGGTACCTCCATCCTCTGAACTGTTAGGAAGGCAGCCAGGTTGGCGGTGTATGAAGAGATGATGATTAAAGTAAAGGCCCACCTGGGTATGAAGGAAGAGATAAAAAAACAAAACATGTATCCACCTACATATATGTAAAAGTGAAGTATGCTGTCTAATAAAATACTATCRTACAGAAGAATCAAAATAAGTGCACACCTGAGAGGAGGAGGTACAATAGGACTTTCAGAGGATGATGAGGTAGCTGGATGAATGGACAAATGGGAGGGTAGAAATGAAGACAGGTGAAAATGTTGGATTTTAGTTGTAATAGCAGGGACAAAACAAGRTGATATGATAACAAAACTGTTAATATTGTCCAGATTATTCAATGAAATAGCATAATCTTTCAGATATCAGGAGATTTGACAACAACACTTTCTATGGTGCTGCTGCTGTACTGATCTATAGATGGTGTTAATGTCTGGATTAACGCCTGAGATCCTGACTGAACTTCATCAGGAATTCTTCAAACATTTTGTCTTGCAAGATGMGAAATCTACATTCTTTCACATCTTGGAAGCTTTCTCAAAAATCTACCCATGGTCACGCAAAAAAAATTACATAAATAAAATAAATAAATAAAAGAAAGAAGTGGTCACGTTGTCCTTGTACTTTTAAACAATAATCTATATTCATTATACAACCTATAACAAAATACCATCACTGTTTCTTTTGGGCAACTAATGTTCTAGAAATCTGGACTATGAAACACGTAATTTAAACACTTTTGATTCGATTGATTTGAATGATTTGATGATGCCTGTGTTGTCATTGTACAGAGCACAACGAAATAATGCTCTACAAACAGGCMCAACATGGATCTGTGCCATGATGTGATGAAGTACACAGCAAATGGTGGCGTTCCAAACATGATGAGCACAACAGYGGTGACACCTCTGACGAAGACGAAAGTACCATGTTGAAGCATGTCAGGTATGTTTGAAGWGACGTAACATGATCAAAGGGTCTAAGAAAGCTTAATGAATATGATAAGATTCCTTAAAAAACATCCACTTTGAGAAGAGTGGAGATATTTTGGTGGAATAAGTTATCATAGACTGCTTGGGAAAGCAGCATTTGACTTTGAATAGTGAGGTCACTTTTCCCCTGCACATTGCAATTTGGATCTTTTAGAAAACCCGTGTGGTCATTATAAACAGCACTGAGTTATCAGCAATGTTGCTTTGTTTMGGCACAAAATCGATGTATTCATTTATGGTTTGAAAAAACACGGTTTGCCTTCAAACACAGATTTTTAAAACTATTAAAATTCTCCTCAAAGAATGACTGTTAGAAGWGAGAACAAACGCTTTTGACTATAATGAGACAGTTGCCGACATTTAAAGTGTCATTCTCAAAAGAACTTTAAGAACAAACAATAGATGAAATGCATTTCTTGGCAGAATGGTACACACACAACAAAGACAGAACAGAACTCATGAATGTAAGTGTTGTTGTTTTGTAAGCTGAAACCTCTTGTCAGTACTAACCACACTCCACTGACACAGCGTGTAGACAGAGCTCTGGGAGCAATGGTGGATCCTTGCTGCATGAACCCTCCAACAGGGAACCAGAAACTGTTGCCAAGAGAGTACTGATTGATCAGCAAGTTGCAGCGTCCCTTTAGACAGGGGTGGGGGTTGTACCACTCGTAAGGTGTCAGTCTGAGAAGAAGAAGACAATGGAGGTTATATAAACAGAGAGCGTCGAGAGAAATGGAGCCACCGTGAGTGAAAACTCAAGATAGAAACTGAGACAGAAAGAGGAATGAATAACAAAGAGCGAAGTGACTCTAATAGTGACGTGAGCCCAAAGTCACCTTGGTTCTCCAGAGAGAGAAATAAACCTTCTTTTCACTCCTCAAGTGCAGCCGACTTTAACCGTGGAGACATCTGATGTCTGTTCTGTGTGTTCAAATGCTGCTGCAGAAACTAACATGATGTAGAGGATATAGAGACATCCATCTATCTCCAGTGTCTCATATGTTCTTAAACTAAGAGAAAAGTTACTTCTGATCCAGTTACAATGTAAAAAACAACACTTCAAACATATGGTATCAATCTATGTTTCAACCAAATTTGATCTTAGTGG